TGAAGAAGTTGAGCTACTTGTGTGTAAGATGACACACAACTAGTTCAACTTCTTCAGCCAATTCTTCAGCCAATGACGCACCACTAGTTCAACTTTTGTGGGGCATATATTGCCCGCTTCTCTTTCAGCTCACCAGCTGCTCTCAAGTGCATAACCCTGAACCAACGTTGACTGCCACACAAGGATTTTCCTCCAACCTCTGGCATTATCCCAAGCAGATGTAACATCTTCATCATTCTCGCCATACAAATTTTTCCAAAGGAACTGGCAAGTATCATCCAGGAAAACAGCGTCAGGACTGAACTTCTGATTTACGTTCGGTACCCAAATAGTTCAGCAAACTGAACATCTCCCCCTTAATGCCAAATTTTTATTTTTATCCATAAAAATAAGTTTCATCAGCAACTTCTTCCTCCTCCTCCTCCTCCAAGTGCCAGAGAGCTTTCTGAAGACCAGTTGCAAATGGCTGTACAAGAACTCTTCCTCGGGGAACCTTGCAAATTTCCCTCCTCTCTTGGAGCTCTGTTGCGCCTTCTTCCCCTTCCGTAGGGACCCAGCTGAAACCAAGCATCCTTTATACACAGAATACATATCCTTGTTTCGCGACGATGTTCTGTTTCAGAGAAATGGTCGCTAATCAAAATGGCTGCTAATCAAAATGGTCGCCAAGCAAACCATGTGACTGAGAGAGAGAGAGAGAAAGAAAGAGAGAGAGGCCGCAAAGGTCGCTGGTTGCTGCCGCCTCATTCGGACAAAGTTCTCTCGTTAAGCTATGCCAGCCTTACTCTCACTCTGGCATGTGTTGCAGTCAAGTGCAAACAATTTGTTTCGAAAACGCATTTTTCACTTCTGTTTACTACTGTTTATTACCGTTATATGTGCACACAGTTGCTAACCGAGGCAGCCGCTAAACGGGGACTAAGTGTAGCTGGCACTTTATCGGCTCCCAGTCCACATTCCCTCGTGGGGTTTCAAACCTAACTCTGTCTCGATGGGCCACATGACTGCCCTTCCTTCCTTCCTGGTGCTTGAGGGGATTCTGTCTGCAACGCAGAAAGCTGCAGCCTGCTCTTCCCGCTAGTTCTTGCGGGCGCTTTTGGGGGCCCACCGCTGGCACCTCTCCAGGTCTGGGGTGCAGCAGCTGCACAAGGGCCCTTTGGACATAAGAGGCATCCTGGCAGCCGGCTGGTCTGCTTCCCTGGCCGTGGCTCATTGTTTGGCACTCCCGGGTCCTGGGTCTTGCCTGAGCTGTGCCAGCTCTCCCCTCACCCCCACCCCTGGCCTCCCTTCCGTTTGGTTCTCCCGTTCAACATCCGGATTGCCTTTAGGATTGCACAGTGAGACTCACACCTCTGCTGCATAAAAATACTGTCGTCTCTCTTCTCTCTGCCCCCTCTCTCTTCTCCTCCTCCCTTTCCCAACCTGCCCTTTGCTCCGGTGCATGCCCTTGTAATAATTAGCACTTCTACCAAAGATTACCCAGGAGCCAGTCAGCGTTTTCCCCAGCGGTGTGGCGAGGGCATTGCTCCACGGCCTTTGGCCCATTCCACTCTAGCGCCTTTCTGAGGCAAACCTCTGGAGAAAGCACTGGGCGCTTCTCTCCACTTCACTTAAAGCCTAAGAACGCAAGCACATGGGAATTAGGCAGGATTCACATTATGAGCCACCTAAGGATGGACTTCCCCATCAATGCTGATTTGAAGCCTTTGTTTTCTCTTAGCCGAACTCAAAAGACCAGCTACATGATGGTATCAGGTTCAACCTAAATGAGCCCTATCAACCAACCCATCTGAAACCTTGAGAAATTATTCCGGCCCTCAGCTCCTGCAGACCGACCATTTCCGCGGCCAACTTTCAGAATCGCAATTCAGCAAAAACTGTTGAGATTCTGCAATATCAGGAGGTGAAACAACTAAAAGAGGTAAGAGACTCATTTATCCTATTTTTAAGTAATAATTTCATTAAACATTCGAATTAAAAAGATGTTTGAGCAAAGATGACTTTCCCTCGTCTCCCAGAACTCTAAACCTGCCGGAGACTGCTGTCTCGTGGTTTCCTCGTGAGCAACAAGTGTCTGGAGCACTTGTGGGCGTTCTCAGGTCTTCCCCTTGTCCAGAGAGGAATTTCGAAGAGCCGGTCTACTCACTGGTTCTTCATTCCCCCATGGTCATCTAAAAGCAGAGCTGTCTTCAGTTCACCATTTCTTCCCCAAAGTCATGAGACTCATTTATCAAAAGGGTTTTTTTTCAGTTTTCCTTTAAAGAATGTACTGAAAAGGATCTCTGTTACTGTCTTTATATAATGCTAAGTTTGTCCATAGTTACTGAAGTATCTCTTTAAGGGATAGCGCCAGTCTTCCATCCCAGTCTAATTTTTTGAGCCGGAGTACCAGGAACAAAATTGTAAGGAAAGTTGAAGGTAAATGTAACGCGACAGACTTTCCTGGGGGAAGGAAGGTTACAACTTCCAAATTCTAGGGTGATTGGGAACAAGTATAGGTTTTTAATTCTTTTCCCCATTACAGGCGCACAAAAAATATACAGTAATCTAAGAACTGCACTTGGCCTAGTGGCAATCATTTCTGGCCCCCAGAACGCCCAAAAGAGACAAGGGAAACTTTCCCTTCCTTTGGGGACAGTATGTTTGTGACTTTCAAAAGATTTTCATGGTTTAAATTCTGGAAATATGTTTTCACTTTCCGAAGCTAGCCCTACATCTTAGGGATTTCCTGGTGGTTTCCTATCCCGAGTCCTAAACAGATCCCGTCCTCCTTTCCCCAAAGTCAGATGAATGCTGCCGCCTCTCTGGGCCTAAAAGGGAAAAGTGTTACACCAGCGTTCTTCACACACCGCAACTGCAACATGTGTGGCCTTGCTGGCCGGGGAATTCTGGGAGTTGAAGTCCACACATGTTGCAGTTGCGGTGCCAGGCCTGAAAAACCCTGCGTTAAACTGTATTAAGCTGAGGACGTTCCCAGAGGAGGCTTCTGCTGTGCCGTCCCCCGGCCTCAGGCAGTCAATGGGGATCCAAACAGCTACATCTTCCCCTTAAATCCATCCCGTTTTCCTACCTCTTCATCCAACTTTTTTTTTCCTTACCTCACAAAACCGGTTAAGGAGGGAGGTAAGCCATGCTAGGTGCCTAGCGGGCAGGTTTGGAATTGGGAGAATACCGTATGCTGCTCTCACCAATGGTGCGATTTGTGCCCATTTATGTTATTTGTGTAATGATGTCCGTATGCAAATGTTGTACAATTCCCACGATGCACTGCTCTCTGATTCAACAGACATTCCTGAGTAATGGACGCTCTCCCCACCAACTGGTCTTTTAAAACAAGGTTTTATTGTGTAAAGATTACCAAAAGAAAAACAGAGGAAACAAACATGATAAAGGATTAGCCTTGGAGCATGGGGAATCGGTTAAGGCAGTGTTGTCCAAACTTGGCCACTTTAAGATGAGTGGACTTCAACTCCCAGAATTCCCCAGCCAGCCA